ATTTATTTGTATATTGATGTATTTGATGTATTTATTTGTATATTGATGTATTTATTTGTATATTGATGTATTTGATGTATTTATTTGTATATTGATGTATTTATTTGTATATTGATGTATTTATTTGTATATCCCTTCATCTATTTGTTTATCTGCACTCAAGTCGTTTTGTGTCCACACAGTTTGTTCTGTCACTCAATGCAACAGGGTCTTTCCCGGGCCTTTATTGTGAAGCCTCTGAGCGGAAGCCTGGCTCCGGGTCCCCTGCTGGTGGTCTCCTCTCGGGGGGAAGGGCCTCGCTGGCTGCGTCTGAGAGCGGACAAACTTGCGTAGTCTCACCGCCGCTCTCTTGGTGCCTTCCCACCTCTCTCTCTATGGACGGCCGGAGGCGAGAGGAGGACGCGGGGATTGTTATTGTCGGGACCGCAGCGTCTTTCAAGGCCACAGCGATGATTTAACCACCGGGGAGGGCGAAGAGAAAAACCGGGGTGCGCGCCGGGGAAACGGAGACGAAACGACGGGAGCGAGAGCAGAGAGGAGCGGGCTCAGCCGTCGGAGATGTGGGGTCGGGCCGAAATTGCGGCGGTAGGTACCGAGCTGAACCGCGGCCCCTGCGACGTGTTGTTTTCCCTGTTGAGTTCCCTCCGCACGGTAAGACGAGCACAGAGAGGGGGAGCAGGACGGAGGCTGCTGCTGCCACCTGGGCTGTTTCTCCTGGAGAGAAGCAACCCGGCCGTGATTCTTCCCTCCGGCCCAGCAATGCTAACACTCACCGGCCCCGTCTCCACGCAGTGGAGACAGCCAGGCGGCTCTCGTTAGCCCCGCTCCCCTCTCATTGCTCCTCTGCCGCCGTCCGACACTTGTTTTTTCACCATGAATAATGTGACGCCTCGTGAATTCAAAGGAAACTTTGTTCTGCTCTGCAGCAGGTTACAGGCCTGTTGTTCAGCCGGACTCAGATTAAAGATCCCCGCTGCTCCGTTAAGCCTCAAATCTCTGTGGAGAAAGTTTCTATGTTGGGATCAGCTCCATCAACACGTTTCCTCCATGAGAGAGGATTTTATTGATGCTGCAGCTGCCTTTCATTATTGATCAATCTGCTGTAGAGAGCTGACAAGCTGCCATTTGCACCACATACTGTACAAACCTTACCCATGGAGGAAAATCCATGAAAGCATGAAATATTTAAGCGGTTTGATTTGTATTCAAACACATGATTATAAACTCTTTTCTATAGATTCTATACAATATAGCTGTGGTGTATATGATATTTAAGGTCAACCACATTTGTTCTGGACATGAACTAATAATGTTACTTTACATGTACACATGAATTAAGTTTATATTTTTGTAACAATACGCAGAGATTTTACAGAAAGACAAATACATTTTGAAATAAACCTGAATGCATGTGTGTATGTATATATTCATATTTGAATTTACTTCAAACTGTACTTATCTATTTGTATGGTATATATAACTCAGTGTGATCTCATGTGGCAGCATTTTTTGTCACCAAAGTACCTTTCAGATACAGCAGCGGTGAAACAAAGGTATTTACTCGATTGTAAGAAAAACAATATAGAGTATATTACGAATTTATCTTTTACATGTCAGCATAGGCAGGAGGATCCTTCAGAACAGATAATAGTTGTTTTAAATATGTATACCTGAACAGGAATGTAATTAAAAATGATTGAAGCTGGTTTTCAGCTTTATTTAAAAACGTGTCCTCTCTTCACTGTGGTGATAATGTGTGTACAGTACAGACATACACTAGAAGTCCCCGGTGATTTGTTGTTTCATGAGTTTCCCCCTCTCCTGCTGTAGGTATCCCTGGACTGAGCAGATTGTTCTGAGAGGAAACGGATAACAAACAGGGGAAGTGAACATGGCAGGGACCTCGGGCTTCTTTTCCAATGGACCTGTTCCATGGATGGACAACGACACGGAGATGAACAACCTCTACCGAGACCTGGAGCTGGGGACAGTGCTGACGCTCTTTTACTCCAAGAAGTCCCAGCGGCCAGAGAGAAGGACATTTCAAGTCAAGCTGGAGACCAGGACTATTATCTGGACTCGGGGCACGGATAAAATTGAGGGAGAGAGTGAGTAGCATGCGAACGCAAAACACACACATGAACTGGTATTTGGGTTGTACAATGCTGGTATTCATGCCAGAAATAGATTACAGCATGTTTACATACATTCAGAAATACGACAATTACAACATGTGAAGTGCTCGAATGAGACTGCACATGTGCAGACGTGGTGCTATTGTGAACATTGTGTCACCTCCGAAATCTTTAAGACCCTTAAAAATATCACAATGTTATTGACTAAATGCAGGAATATTAGTTAGGTGACACATTTTAGAAACAAGGATTTGAAACCGGTAGGTGCATTAATGGCTCATTTAATCAAGTAAAGCAGGCTGATAACAATATATTGTTTATTACATAACTGTGATGCAGCTTCCATAACCATAAAAAGACATTGTTCAAGCTATTAAAATAATATTTCAGGAAAGACAATACCAGTAATGCCGACACGTATATTACATTTATTAAATTAGCTGTTATTGGTGGATGAAAGCTGCTTTTCTGTCTTTCTCAACTCGATTTTCTTTGTTGATGTGATTTTTGTCAGTGTTTTAGATTTAACAAAATCCAATGAATGGTTCAGAGGAACAGCCAGTGGATGAATCACACCTCAGGGTCAACAATCAGAAGAAATATTGCTTCCCGGAACACTTTTGTTACATTAACAATAATATGCTGCAATTTAGCAGGAAGCTGTAGTTCAGGTTATTCTTTAACAAAACAGTCCATCTAACCCGGGATGTGCAGGGCTTCGGCGAGTCGTTAATTCATCCGTCTCGAGGGGAGCAGGATGACTTTTGCACAGCTGTACTCTGCTCCGGATGCAACAACAAGAGCGCACACAGACACACAAACACAGAAAAGAGGACAGAAGATTTTTTTTCTTTAATGCAACAGTATCATCTTCTCTGTGATGAGGGCTTCATACAAGTATGAGCTCATAGCTGCCATTCGATACTCCTGGAGATGTGAAATTGACCTAGGTGGCTCATTAATGCACAGAAATAGAATATGAGGGTTTTTTACTGGAAGCGTGTGATCATTTGGGAACGATTTGGCTCGCTGTACTTACCTCCCTTATCAATGGCAGCGAGAGAACGACTTCCATCAACCGTGGTAACTCTTGCTTGTTGCTAAATATAAAAGCTGAGAGGTGTACCTGTTGGCCTCTAAAATTCTCTCCCCTCTCAAATTCATTTCTCTTTTCGGTGCCATCGTTGTAATTCTAGAAAGATGCTTCCTGCACATCGTCTCTGTATGTATTGTATGTATGTCGTAGTGTAAAATAAATTGCAGGGCTTTTGACTGTATCTTGATGAAGCAGGATGTGGTCTTGCAGAGCGATTGGTGGTAACAGACGGGTTGGAAGTTGTGGCAGGGGACATCACAAATGGA